ACATTTTTCGCTCTAGTAGCATCACCTAAAGGACAAACAATAGTGCCTTCTATAATGTCAATCAAAGTCCTCTCTTTAACAAAGGTGTTGAATTAAAATGCCAATAATGTATAATTGGAATCATTAAGCTTTTCATCGAGAGATTCGCCATGTTCAAGTTCCATGATAATAAGGCAAACAACAACCAAGAGAAAAAAAGTTTTTTTTATGACGAGTAACACTAGGACTGGGAAAATAGACCAGACCGTTAGAAAAACCGTGGTCCAAATCGTACCGCACAATTTGGTCCGGACCGTGAAGTATGGTCTGGTCCCTGATCTGTATTATTTTATGATTTGATCTCTTGGCCTGGTCTGGTCTAGACCGCGGTTTACCGGACCAAACCGTAGACCCAACTGACTTGTCAATACGTGTTAACAGCCCATTCGACCACTCTCCAAACTCTCACAACGACACCCAAGTCTCAACCTTAATTTTGTGAATCTCTTCCCTTCTTCATTCACAACCACATTTAACCACAGAGTATAGATAATCGTGTTTCCATATGACTTTATGTTAATATTTATGACATTATGGTGCAAGGTGAGATGCTTTTACTTTGTATCTTTGTTATGTACTAAGATTTAGAGTATCAAAATTATTCATGCATGTTAGGATTAATGTTTTAAGGCAAATAACTATTATTTTTCTTGGTTATTGGTTCAATTTTTTTTTGTGGTTGACTAAACAAATTATTCATTTTTCTTTGAGTGTGGTCTATCTGGACCAGACCGCACAGGCGTGGTCTGGACCGGACCGTATAGTCTGTGGTCTGGTCTGTGGTCTATACTTTAGCCTCTCGGTCTGGACCGTAGACCGTATATATGGTCTGGTCTGGACCAGACCGCACCGTTTCCCAGCCCTGATGTCGTAGTCGGGCCAAACCCCGGAACCTCCGCTAGCAGTCCAGGCAAATGCGGGGTGCTTCCAGGAACACCATGACAGCGGTGAGGATCGAATCTGGGACCTCTCAGTCACCAGTCCTTCTCCCTTACCACCAGACTATGTGACCTTTAGCAGAAGTCAAAGTTTGAAACTAGAAAGCCAACAAAAATGGAAGGTAACTAAAACCCACAAAGAGGCAAGACAAAGTGAAAATGAGGAAGGCCAAACTTGGCGAACGGAAGGGCGGAAGAACCCAAACCTTGTCGAAAAGCAAAATCTAAATGACCAATCAAAGAAGCAATATGCAAAATTTATCGAGGAACACCAATAAAAACATGCAGATAAGAGAGAATAAAACCTAGTCTCCAAGGAAATGCAGACAAGTACAAATCAAGAATGAAGAAATCTCGGATGAAAGCACTTTAAAAAACTCTAATATTATGTCAAACAAACAACTAAAATAATGAAGAAAACAACAAAATAGATGATTCGCGTGGTTTTCCCATTCAATGTAAGCGAGATTATTCCATAAAAAACTACAAACTCTCAATCAATACTCTTATGATATGATTTGCTACCGGTTCTGATTTAATCATAAGTAATCCTAGTACATGAGTAAGATCTAACTCTACTGTATAACAAATAATTACAAATACAACAACAACCCTATAAAATATACTAGCTTTGTACCCGACCCGTTGGCCGGTTACATTTCGTCAATAGTATAATATCAATACATTAGTAAGAAGACATATAATTAAAATGCTTACTCAATACATTATACACTAATTCACTAACATAGAATTCTCATACCATATTTTTTGGTTTAACTAAGGATTGTCCAATCATTAAAATACCACCATAACCATGTCTTCTCATGCCTCCACACTTAAGTTTTTGCCCTACATTGTTAGTTCAGGCTTCCCAACCAAGAGAAACGATCTTCTGAGTTTTTTTTTTATAATGGTAACATCAATTTTGTAAGTGAGTAATTAAAAATGTAAAAATAATACAGGAAAAATTATTGATGGACAACCTAAAATATGGGATGAAAACAAAGCAGTAAGCCATCTTACTACCAAATAGAAACATAGATAACAACGTTGCTATCAGCTCAAATGATACATCTAACAATTTTCTTATGAGTTAATTTTGTTTTTACCTCACATCTAAGTCTTAAAAAGCACTCTTGATGTCTAATTTGAGAACGTTGTGCATATTTTTAGATAAATTCTTAAGATACGCAATCCTCCACTAAAATCAGTCTCGTCCATCTTTGTCAAACCTACTGGACTGTAAACTAATAAATTTCAACAGGATCCATACCTTACCTGGATCTAAACTAACAAACCTCTCATCACTCACTAATAGGCATATTAAGAATATTCTTTATAATTTCATTCTAAAATCTTAAACCCTTCACTCAAAGACATGAATTAAGAACCTCTCATCACTCACTACTAGGCATATTAAGAATATTCTTTTTAATTTCATTCTAAAATCTTAAATCCTCACTTAAAGACATGAATTAAAATTATCCGTACCGTAGGTCAATATTAAATTTTTTTCTTTTTAACAACGATTATTTGAACAAAATAAAGCTATTATCTAGTTATTAACTAATATGTGTTCAACCTTTGTCCTAAACCATAACCGAGAGTTTAGGGTCAAATCTATTTAGACCAATATATGTGTATCGTTAATTTCATGCATGTTGTTGCATGGATAATATTTTATCATACCATATTGTTTGGAAAATCGGAAAAATTATTACGGTCAGTCAAATCTATGTAGTGTAAAAAAATCATATCAATCAGTTTTACATGTTCAAATGAAAAATCTAAAGTATAAAAAGAGGTTTTGACCGGTCTTATATCAGTGTAATGCACATTGAATATTTATTTGTATAAAACAATGATAATACATGCACCATTTATTTTCGATTAAATCATGAATACTATTCCACTAAATTGTCCATTACCATTGCATAAATCAAGATTATTTCATTAGTTAAAACAATTTTCCCATCTAACTTGGTATGACTTGGAAGATTATTAGGTCCTTGAACAATAAAATTTTGGACCGAAAATGTATTTCTTTCTTAATTAGTGGAAAGGGGGTAAAAGTTAGGGTGCGGATAGTATAACAACAACAAGATTCATCAAGGGTATAAGGGTAAACTTACCTAAAATCTAATAAAATTGAAATTGAAATAATAGCCCACCCACCCTTCTTCTTCTTGTTTCTTCCGCCCCTCCCACAGTCTCTCCTCCAGCGCCCGCGACAATCCTCAACACTCATCCCTATCGTCTCTCCACCACGACAGAGTTCACGGGACGGTTGTCATCACTAGCTTGTCCGGAGGTCTTAGACACGGGTTCAAATGACTGGCAATTGTCTTGGACATAGCATGAGGTCCTACATCTTCAACCTAAAACCAAAGGTTCTATGGTTTCGACTAAGAACCTTTCCAACAATCGACGGCCATTAGCATCGGCCAAAAACCACACTTCGCTTCTTCCAAACCACTACCAATCACAAACTTCATTCAATCACACTTCTTCGGCCTATCTTGCTATTCATATTTCAAACTTAGTAGTGAAGGAGTTCACAACAGTTTAGGTGTTTCAATGGCTTGAGTGCCAACAAACCTTTCTAGAGCATACACTTAGAGTTTCTTGGCCACTCTCTACTTTTATTTGCCCTGTTTTATTACATCTTTTTCGTTTCTTTTCTTTCTTTTGCTCTTTCTTTCTTTTTTTTTTCTTTTTTCTTTTCTGAGGGGGGTACTAGAGATTACAACACAATGCTCTCCATTAAGAACTTTCCTCCAATACTACCTTCTCATTTCTAGAAAGAACCGTGCAAAACCACCTATGTAGAACCTCAATGGAGCTCAAAAGCGAGAACTCTGAGACACAAAGATGACTCACACTTTGACACGAAGAAAGGATGGGGTTCGTTCTTTCGATCGCAATTAAGCCCAACTAGCACGAAGCTCCTAGCATTAGAACGACCCCCAAAGTCACACGGGTGAAAGGGGTTGACTAGGGGATAAAATGTTTCGGGACAATCAACTTTTGGGCGTGAACTAATCATATGCCTCCATCATACTCACTAGCGACAACAGTGAACGTTACACACCATGACGAGAGGGATCTATCACACATGAAAAAGACGATAGACACAAATCTCACTTGGATACCTAGCCGCCCAAACATCTATTCCAATTTCAAAAACTTCAATGCATCGCAATTGTATCAAGGAGTAACCAAGTCAAAAAATCCATTCATTTAAGCACACATGAGAACTAAGCTTTTGCACAACCCTAATGCATTCTCAGTTATCATAACAGGATGCACTCGATTACATGCAAAAATTCAAGATCGATGCCAAATAAGCATGAGATTCACCCACCAACCTGCCATTTTGATCATGCATTGCTTGGAGCCCTCAAAATTTTCAAATTTGGACATATATCAAGGCTCCAAGCATTCATTCACACACACACAAGTATAATAATAAATTACCCCCCCCCCCCCCCACACACACACACTTAAGCTCGACATTGCCCTCAATGGAGTAAAATAGGGGGTAGAACGATGTTATCGCATGGTTTAGTGAATGAAAGTTGGAGAATTTCCCGGGATAGGATGTTTGAGCTTCAAAGGGAAAACAAAACACAAACACACGCACATTCGCGCTCGAGGCGAGGTTATTACACATATCGTCCCTATTTCCGTCAAGTAGGAGGTGGACGCTGCACTCTGGCGTCGAGACAACGAAATCGTCGTCGAGCTGGCGGCCGCCGATGACAAGCCTCCAGATTGAACAGGGATTCTGGTGATCTCAAAGATTCGCAGCTTGATTTCATGAGTATAAGCTTCCAGTGCTGCGAATCGCAGGGTAGCCGTCTTCCCGTCGAGAAGCCGCGCAAAGATCTGGAGCGCCACTCCATCCGCCAGCCACTCTGTGGTTTTCCATCATCGTCGACCGACAAGTTCCGGATTCTGTTGCTCAGAGTAACTTGTATTTACCGCTACAAAATGAATTACACTTTGAGGAGTTTTTAGACTTCATACAGACGCCATAAGCCAGAACATGACATGGGACGACACAGCAAGGAGAAACCCGGAGATGAAAGCCAAAGTAATGGAGATTTGGAGCCTTTTGCATGGGAAGTGAGGTGTGGCATTGTAGTAGTGCAGGTCTCGAGCGTACAAAATTGTGACTCCTGCTGATGTCGATGCTGCTGCAAGTGACATGATAGATGTCACCTGCATATTACAAAAATTCAGATAAAATGATACCGGGTTATGAAGCTCGACCTAAGAAGAAATGAGATGTGAACAATTATGTGCAACAACATAGTGTCTGAACTATCTACCCAATTCTTATAGATATGCTTACGAGAAGAATGCATGAAGCTGAAAAAGATTATTTGTATGTGCATTCAAGTGTGCAAGGACTAGAGAAGAAGATAGTGATCAACCACATGTTTGAAGTCTACTGTAATCCTATATAGAAAGTGCAAATGATCAATTGAAATAATGTTAGCACATCAAAAGTCTTGGAATGCACACCATAAATCTTATAAAACATACCACAAATATCACAAAAGTGACACGCTAAAACACAACACCTAACAATGGCCAAGTGTAACCAATGAAAGGGACTGCAGTAACAGGCAAGTTTAATTATCAACCCGGGGTCTAGATCTATTGCTTACTCCGTGATTCTCTATTATCTAGCAAACTAGTTCGAATGATTGTTGTGAAAAGTAAAAGCAACAAGAAAGCAGTAAATTGTTCGGGTTTCTAAAGCAGGCAAGAGTCACTCGGGATTGAGTCCCCCTAGCCCCTTAGTTAGGTTCAATTGCAATTCCCTGGGTTGATTTACTGTTGATTAGACTGCGGAAGATCCGACAGTAGCTTGGAATCTCTTAAGCTGACCAAGCCCTCTCAGTCTAACTACCCGGCAGACGACTAGTCTTCACCGGGATAGAAAGCTGAGGCTATGAACACAGAACTCCACTACTGGCGCCAAGAACACCAGTACAAAGCAGTAAACTGGCTAACTCTCGTATAGCCAATCTCCTACTATCGAATGAAGAGGCTCTAACAACCTAATCAGATTCTATCTATCTCAGGTTGCAGCAGAAATTGAGAAAAGCTGATCAGACTCAAATCAATTCAATAAACATGCATCATTCGATTAAAATCAAACAGTAATATCATCCCAAGTCATTACAATTAAATCCCTAACACAAGGAACTAGGGTTCTTCATACCCAAGTGAGAGAAGGGTTCTACTCCATAGAGAGAGAAGAGAAAACAAGAATCGGATTAGTCATACTCATAACGATGAGGATAATCTGCTCCGGGACGATGATTTTCACTCCTATGACGATCTCCAAGCTCGATTCGATGAAATCCAGCTCTAAGACAGCTTCTAGGATGTGTTCTTCGCACTTTCTCTCTCTAGGGCTCTGTTTTTGCTCTCAAAACACGATTCTCTCACTTTTGGCTCGAATTAGGCTTTAAAACCGACTTTCCCGAGTTGCACGGCCAGGTGCACGGCCGTGCACAACACCATTCTGGCCGTGCACCCTCAAAACGCACCGTATCAATTATCCACCTTGCACGGCCAGGCGCACGGCCGTGCAATCTTCAGGGTCTGGCCGTGCATGGCCTCGACATGAGGTGCACGGCCAAATGGCTCAAGTGCACGGCCGTGCAGCCTCCTGGTCTGCCCGTGCACTCCCCAAAAAGCTCGCCCTTCGTCCGTTCTGCGTCCAATCGACCCCAGACTCGCTCCTAAGCCTTCATTCACGTACTAGGTCCTGAAATAACACAGACAAGCACAACCTAGCGTGAAATCGGCCTAAAACACGAGAATCAACACCTCAAACGGTGTAAGTATGAGGGTAAAAACATGTGTAAATGACGGTCTATCAAAAAGCATACCACAATTATTTTGAAAGCATACCAGAAACTTGCTAATGCAGACTATAAATTGCCTAAAACATACTAGAAACACCACAAAGCAAACCACAACTATTTCTAAAACACACCAAAAACTTCATAATGCAAACCACAAATGCGATAAAACAAACTAGAAACTTCTTAATGCAAACCATAAACCTCCTAATGCATACCACAAATCTCCTAAAACAAACCACAAACCTCACAAAGCAAATCACAACATTTGCGAAAGCACACCAGAAACCTCCTAATGCAAACCACAAACACAGTAAATCAAACCACAGAAAAGCAAACATGAAACGTCCTAATGCAGACCACAAATATATTAAAACAAACAAGAAATCCCTCAATGCAAACCAGAAACTTCTCAATGCAAACTAGAAACACAATAAAGCAAACCACAAAAGGCATACAAAAATATGAGAAACCAAACCATAAATCTCACAATGCAGACCATAACATCCGGTGGTCGTTGCCCGTTGACCAAACTCCGATGACCGTTAGTGAGTAGATTCTGGCGCCGATAGGCATATTCCGGCGCCGATGACTAGATTCCGACGCCGGTAAGCATATTCCGGCGACAGTGAGCATATTCCGGTGACAAAAAAACATGTTCCGGTGACCGACGAACAGATTCCGGCGACCAAATTTTTTGGCAGAAAATAAAAAAATTATTTTTTATTTCTTTTATTTTCATTTATTTTCATTATTATTTAAACATATTTTTCGTAATAACAATTATACGTCTGTTTTGATTTTACACTAGGTCAACTTAGCTAATAAAAAGTCATCACAAACCTATCTTCCTGTTGGTTGGAGGCTAGTGTTGTCACCCTAACAACAAAATAGGTGTTGTTACATTAACCGGTCCCTAAAAGTTACTAATAAAATGAATCTAGCGGGGTCCAATAAATTGATTTCTAATTGCCATGGGCCACGCCCACAGCATGCCATGCCAAGTTGCCAACACCCTATTCTATTTTTGTCGATTGATGAGATGTAAAAAGACTAATTAATCCTTCCTAGCTGCCAACCATAGACTATTGGTAGACGTCCATTAAGGATGGCAATGGGTCAGGTTGGGACGGGTTTTGTCAAACTCAAACCCATGGGTTTATTCGCCAAAAAATCCGGGGAAAACCCGCTGGGTTAGAAAAACTCAAACTCAACCCAACCCGCTGGGTATCCGCGGGTTCATGGGTACTCGTGGGTTTTTGTGTGAAAAAACAACAATAACAAGTTTCTTTCAAAATAAAAGTCTAACATAAATTTTCTCATACAAAAAACACCAATCTAGAGCATACAAGCAAACCGCAAATTATCATTACAAATTGTTCAAAATTAAAGATGAACATCTATAAACAACATGATTAATTGAAAGCTTCTTTCTCTTTGCCAACTAAACTTTTTCAATCTTCACTCTTCACTCCATAATATCAACTTCATTATACACAATTTTAAAGAATAAATTAGACATGTCTCCACAAACATAAAGAAGATTAATTATTTAAGGAAAATATATTGCTTAGAATATTAAATATACCGGAAAAATTAATTATTTAGGTGTGGACGGGTACCCATGGGCCGGGTATGCCTAAATCCAAACCCAACCCAACCCGTGAATAATGTAGCGGGTTTAAACCCGAACCCGACCCAAAACCCGTCAACACAAGTTTTACCCGCGTTGACCGGGTTGAGTCGGGTAAGATACTAATAGGTTCGGATTTTGTTGCTATCCCTAACGTACATAGACTATTGGTAGATTAAGAATCTCCTAATGCATAACAACTATTGAAGCAAAGCCTAAATCTAACAAGCTCGGTACTGCTAATTGTCTATGGTTGACATTCATTTTTTCCTAGCTAATTCGAGATCTCGGATTAGAAATTAATCTATAACCAAGGAACTTGTCAACAAGTTGTCGTTGTAGTATAGTGGTAAGTATTCCCGCCTGTCACGCGGGTGACCCGGGTTCGATCCCCGGCAACGGCGCTCCTTTTTTGGTTTTTTGTTGTTTTTACTTCGTCTGTCTATCTTCGTAGTCTTCGTCAATCTTGTACCTCCACAGCTTCCTGCTCAGACCGACTTCAGACACGGAATTCCGCGGTCCCCTTCCCTCTACCATTCTACCTTCCTAAACCCTAAAAGTCATATGTACTACAACATGAAAGTCACCGGCGCTTCAATCGTCTCCACATTGCGCTTCCCTTACAGTAACACTTTCCATCGGCTCTTCCCTTCCCAATTCCTCCCCTCATCTTCTTCCCTCTCGTTTTCATCCTGTTACGAAAGAACAATGCCTCAGTCTCAGGCCCGTTGCTCTGCCACTTATTCTTCTCCGGCTTCCGACGCCGTTGTGCCGTCGAATGCCCCGTTGGTTAGGCCTAAACAACACCCATGGCTTATTGTTGGCCTGGGGAATCCTGGGAAGATGTATCAGGGTACTCGCCATAACGTCCGTACCCACCCACCGCTTTCTCTTTAGCTTCTGCTTTTACTTTCTATTACCTGCATTGTTGATTTGTAGTTAGTTCTTAATGGAAATTTTGCTGAATTTGTGATTCATCGTTGAATCGGGTACTTGATTTTGCAGGTGGGTTTTGAGATGGTTGATGCAATAGCTGAAGTGGAGGGGATATCAGTGAGTACTATCTCCAACAAAGCCCTTTTTGGAAGAGGTTTCACATTTCTCCCTCTTTTAACCGATTTACTTGAATATGAGAGTCTGTCTTTTACTTCCATTGTCAAATCTCTAGTCCTTATAGCGTTGGTTGCTCCTTGAATCCAGGTTTTATTGGCAATATCCCTGTAATGCTGGCAAAGCCACAAACTTTCATGAATGCAAGTGGTGAGTCTGTAAGTAAGCTCACCATCTGCAATCATCTTTTTTTACCGGTGTTCATGGTGACAATTGTTGCCTTGCAGTGGGGGACTGTAATCCTTAATATTCCATTTTGCAGGTTGCGCCCATTGTATTGTATTACAAGGTGCCACTGAATCAAGTGCTGTTGGTAATGATTCATTTCTCTTCTATTATGATGTCTATTGAACATCGCTTCTCTTTCAATCTTCGTAAGTGGTTCATGTGGTTGTACAGATATATGATGACTTGGATTTGCCTTTTGCCAAGTTGAGATTGTTGCCAAAAGGTGGCCATGGTGGACACAATGGGTACACTTGCTTATTGTAGTTCTCATGGCTCATGATATCATGTCTCTACTTTGTGTCAATGTCCAAAATATTCACAAACTTCTTCCCTCTTTTTTCTCAAAGGATGAGAAGTGTCATTGATCGCCTCAAAGGTAGTCGAGATTTTCCTAGGTTAAGAATCGGTAGGTGGTGTGTTCCTTAAGCTATGTTGAATGTGTAAAAGTACTCCCTCATTGAGTAAGCATCATAAACTGTGTTGTTTATGCAATCATTGTATAGGTATCGGGCGGCCTCCTGGGAAAATGGATGCTGTTAACTTTGTTATGCGCCCATTCAACAGACAAGAACGTGAAGAGGTAAAAGATAACGATGGTTAATAATTTGTGGAACATGTTAAACTTTTGGTGTTCCAACTGGATTTGTTTCTTTGGCACAGTTAGATATGACATTTCAACAAGGCATTGAAGCTGTGCGAATTCTGTTGCTCGAGGGGTTTAACAAGAGTGCAACATTTGTCAACAGTTCCAAATCCATGGAGCAACTTGGTTAGTTAACAGCTGAATTAGGATCACCATTGTTTACAAATTGGTTCAGAGAATAATGTCCAGTGCAGATTAAATCCGCAAAGAAAAAGGAGGAAGAAGCTAGATTTTGGACGAGGAGATTAATCTTTGTCGACCTGATCTATTAGAAGCTCGGTAGTCATTCCCACCTTTTCTGAACAGAAATTGTTGATTATCCACCATTGGGATTTCAGTCAAATACAAGAAGATATACTAGGAAGGTAATCATTTAACGTCTGGATTGCCTAGTGTTGCATTCACATCTGATTGGATATGTTTTTGTGGTTAGGTACTACTTAATGGATAAGTATTCGAATATGGAACCTCCAGATTTTAAGTTTGTGGTTAGGTACTACTTAGTACTTATTCATACAAATTAAATTCATATCAAAGTGAGAAGGTTCAAGGTAGTCGCTGCTAGTTCTACTCGAATAAAGCCGCAAAAATGTGCCTGTTTCTTTCTCCTTGTCTGTGATTTGAATGACCCAATTCAGCAAGCAACTAAACAGCTCTTTATCGTCAATCTGTTTCCTTATCCAAATTTCAGCCTATTCAAAGGTAGGGAGTGTAATCAGTGAATGGAAAATTAAACTCCTTTCAACACTCTTACTTTGCTCCTTATCATCACTTTTATCAGCACAGAGAGGAAAATTTGACCAATGGAAAGCTAGTTGTTACAATGGTAATAGTTCAACAGAATGAACAAGGTTATTGAAGTGACGACGTTATAATTGAACTTGCAGTTTTAATCTGGGTTCTTTTTATTCATTATGCTTTAATTTCTTATTGGCTCTTCTGTGTGCTTTAATATCCTACACCGTCTAAGTTCGTAACATGTCCTTTTTCTGGAGGAAAAAAAAAAGACTCGAGATTGAAAAGCAGAGATATGTGTAAGACAATGGGTGGGCATTTCGTTGGTTCGGTTAAAATTTGAATTAAAATCAATATATACCACTTGTAATTCTTCTCCATGACTTATTTCGAGTCAAGTTATAACTCGATTTGGTGACACTAAACCAGATTATACATCGGTTTGGATCGAAAAATCTGTATCAGCCAAAATTGTGTGGGCTTATCTGCTCATGGGCTGTGCCATTGAGCAATGGACATGCGGTTGGGGCAGATCAGCATGTCTGTTAGCCGGGGGCCACGGGCATAATTTGGGGTGAGCTGTGGAGATGTGTAGGGCTGCAAACGAGTCGAGTTTTTGCTTAGTTTGAGCTCAGCTCGTTTATTAATTTTTCAGCTCGAGCTCGGCTCGAACTCGAATTTTGATAATCCAGCTCTAGCTCGAGCTCGACTCGGTAGAGCTCGATAAATGCTCATTAACATAGCTTGTCAAGCTGAGTACAAGCTCGGCTCAAGATAGGCTCGATTTAAAATCATTTTTGCTGGAAAAATGTATAAACATAAGAATTTAAATGATAGAAAAAACACTAGAAACTATAAAAAAAACATCTAAATTTCATACACATCTGTATTAGAAGACAATGTTCATGTTTAAAAGAGTAATTCATCCTTCCACAAGCTCAAAACAAGGCAGCTCGCTAGCTTAGCTCGACAAGCCACCGAATCAAGCTAGCTCGCGAGCTTATCAAGCTGAGCATGGTCTAGCTCAGGCTTGGCTCGTTAACTAACGAGTTGGCTCGCGAGCCGGCTTGTTAAATAACGAGTCGAGTGTCGAACGAGTTTTTTCCGATTCGAACGTCGAGTTGCTCGCGAGCGGCTTGGCTCATTTGCAGCCCTAGGCATGTGTATGGTTTTTACATTTTATGATGTTTTCCTTGGGATTTATCTCAATTCTGAAGTTTAGATAGTGTGTGCATAACTATGTAATTCTATAGAAAATTAGAAATACATGAAAACATTGAAGTTATGACTTATGACGTTGGAACCCATTTTATTTATCAATAATTTAACTTTTTATTGACCAACTAATGCAACATTGAAGCTGAAAGTTGGTACCCACTTTAACCAATGCATTATTGATCATACATGATAACATTCCAAGCAAACACTTCAATCCAAGCAAGAGCTAACATCAAACACCATTTGGAGGCATAAATCATCCAAATTTCAAATCCACAAATCAAAACAATCTATAGTCTAAATTCTAAAGCATACATACATCATCCAAAATCCACAAATCAAAGCAAATTTATAGTATAAATTCTAAAGCATAGATCGTCAAAATTCTAAACTCCACAAGTAATAGATCATCGAAATTCTTGATTTCTTCATGGCATATGAAACAATAATTACTCATGATCAATAAGTAGAGTGTAAAGAGACAAATAAACCAAAATAAAGTCATTAGTTATTAAAAGTTAATATTACCTACTGTTCAAATGGTGTGGTTACCATGGTAACCGTTTTAACCAGAACTATTTGGATAATTTGGATAATTGGTTTGGTTTGGTTAAGGTTTTTAGCTTGTTTGATTTAGGTGGGTTGGTTTGGTTTCAGACACTCCTAACCAGCCAAACCAAATTAACCAGATAAATAATTAGCCATATATCTAATATATACACTTACTTAATACTTTGAATAACCATTCAAGAGTTGAACGTTCATCCCTTTTAGACTCATAAAATATAGAGCTTGATATTGTTCCTATAATGTATGTTTGTATATGTAGAGTGTAGACCACAACCTATGAACGCCTAATTCAGATAAATCTCATACATTATGTTGGATGAAAACTTGAAAGCAAGGTCCTTTTCAGCATATGAAAATTGCTAAAAGACTAATTCAATTCAAACAAACACAAAAATTCGTTAACACATACCATTGTGATAAATTTTTGTTAGGTGAATACTTCTATACCAACCGTAAGATAATTGTCTTAGTTGCATGTATTTATGTTACAGGTCAACTATAACTATGTGTTGATTGTTATGTTTTATTCATTATATAAATTGTGAATTGATAAATCAATCGAAATTTTCTCACTTAAAGATAATGTGATTTTATATTGGTTAATCTGGTTAACCAATTAACCAAACCGATTAAACTTTAATTTGGTTGTTGTATTTTTTAGATAAGGGTGATATAGGTTACTTTTTAGTTATTAGGTACTACTGAAGGAACTCGAACCTGGGACCTCCAGGTTCATAGCTAGTGGTATTACCACTAGACCAATCCATTGTTCGTAATTTGGTTGTTGTATTAGTTTGGACGGTTTTGTTATGATATTGTATTCCATGGTTAATGAAATTTAGCTGTATTTGATTTGGTAATAACCATGATAACCATTTGAACATCCCAAGAACCAGCACCAAAACCACCACTAGTAACATTGGAAGTCAAAGTAGACGAGAGAAAGACTATCTCTTTTTCTTATATATATACCGAGAGATTATCTCTAATAGCTACTTAACTAATCAACTTGCCCGATTATGTAAACATCAAACAAAAAGAATCAACATACACCAAGTGACAACATAATATTAACATGAAGATGTAAATATGTAATGCAATACGGTATCTAGTATTGAGATATTACCTTCATCTGTTTTCTCAACCTCCGCTGGATTTTCTTCAAATGATGGTGTTCTAGCAAAAAAATCGGCATCGTTAACAGAAATTAATAGAGACTAATGGTGAGTGACCAAATCTGAAAGATTAAACTAATTTTGATGACAATGAATGAAATAAAATTTTTTATTTTGATATTTTACTGTCTAGCTCTATCTAGTTATACCTACGCGACCTCTATATGTTTTTCTATCTAACTCGCCGCCAACCTCTATCCAGAGCGGATCTGGTGACTAGGGGGGGGGGTGCTTAGTCACTTGACTAAGCCCCTCCTAGCCATTAGATCTGGACACTTCAATCCAATGGTTAAAAAGTGGGAAGGGCTATTAATTAATAGCAGGGGTAGTTTGGGTATTATGAAAAATTACGAAGTATACAAACCGAATTTACAATCAGTACAAACTATACAAACATACGAACAGTACAAACTAGAGCGACAAAACATACAAACATTACAAACGTATGAACTGTACAAACAATACAAACTAGACTGACAAACAATACAAACCATACAAAAAGACAAAACACCCGGGTTGACTTTGGAGGCTCCATCCCTATATAGAGGGGCTCCTTCCCAAAGTCAACCCGGGTGTTTTTTAGACATACAAACAGTACAAACATGGTGGACAAAAATGACAAACTAGACCGACAATCCATACGAACGGGAAAAAACACCCGGGTTGACTTTGGAGGCTCCATCCCTATATAGAGGAGGTCCATCCAAAAGTCAACCAGGTTGTTTTTTAGACATAAAAAACATTACAAACATGGTGCACAAAAATAACAAAGTTTACAAACATTACAAAAAAAACCCGACAAACATTACAAAATAACAAAGCATACAAACATTACAAAATCTGTCAACAAAGATCACAAAATTAGCACTGTCGCCGGGAAATTATTCTCCGACGACGATGTTCGCTGGAAAAATTTTCCGACCAGAAAATCAATCTCTCTCTGCATTTGGGGGAAATTCCCCAACAAAGTAATAAATGTCAGCAGCCTCTCTCTCTTCGTGTGGGAAGCCACAAACAACTTGGGAGATATAAATCCCATATCCCTCCCGCAGGAACAAAATTCCTGGTCGGCGACCAGGGATTGGGATGCGACGCCGATGACTGGGACGCCGGGAACCCAGGAGGAACGAAAATCACAGGCCGTCGATGATGCTCGACGGCGGAAACCCAGCCAGGACAAACACGCGAGCCTTTTAGGTTTTTTTAATTAATAATTGAAAATTAATAAATCATGCAATTACTACAATGCCCTTCATTAAATTGAATTAATCTGAGCCCTTGGATTTTAATGAGGTTGAGTGGCTGAGATTCACTTAGTCATGTGACTAAGGGACCCCCAGTCACCTGATCTTAGCCCACCTCTATGTAAGATGTTTTGGTGTTGCCTAACCGCTAGATGTACTCATGTACGTAAGCGTAAGGTTAATCTCATCTTTTTGAACCATGGTATTGTCCCTTTAGTTTTTGCAGGGGGCCGGTAGTTCAGGGGAACAATACAATACGGACACGAACGGCGTTTATGGAGGCAGAGGAGGATGAATGTTAGCAAAGAATAGTTCGTCTGGGGAATCTAAACTCCCCTACTGTCTTCGCCTATCCTGCTCCAAAGGGCTGATGGTACCCCAAAGGCATAGACGAAACACAAGGCAACGGAACAACAATTGCCTATGATACATTATGATTTTTGACAGATCTTCTCCTTAAAACTCTCTTCAATATATAGTTAGAGAGACGTTCGAAGTAGCATCCAGGCACAGAAGAAATACAAGGCAACGGAACAACAATTAGAACGTCAGCCAGCGACTAGTCTAGATACTACAATATTCAGTTGGTGCCTAACAACCAAAATGAAGCATGAACCGAACTTCTCCCGCCAAGATTTCCATCGACTTCTCAACCATGGTGAGTCCATAATCTTGCCCTGTGCATACTCTCGCCAATTAAGATTTACCTCAAGGGCATTTCCTTTGTACATAAGACGCCCCGTGTTCCTCGTACCTGGAAATTTGTGCATCAGTTTTGTTCGGTGCCATATAATCATTTTCTCGCTCAGTTCGTGGCATCTTAATGTACTTACTCTGACTTGGAGAACCACATTTGCTGGAATGAGCCAAGAGATGCCAATATGCTTCCTCCAATCCAAACACTGCATAGAATTAAAGATAGCTCAATACATAGTTAGCGATGGGTGAGGGTTCATCCAGTTCTAGTGCACAATTGCCCTCAATACTTGCTAATAAGCTTTTTTCGCGTGAATAATTGCAAGATTGCCTTACCAATGTCATGATCTATGATCTGCCAAATATATAAAGGGCGCCGATATGGCAACTAGGGCAAACTAAAAGGAAAGAGTCGCATTAACACAATACATTCAGATGGACCTCTGGATAGAAGAGAGAACTACTAATAAAAAGAGGAGTTAAGTCAATCAAGGAAACAAACCTGAATCTCCTTTCCATTGAATTTCCACTAGCCAGCACTTTAACTCTAGCATTTTGAGGAGACTCCTGCAGTTTGAATGACAATTTTGTTATCTTGAATTACAATATCAATCCTTTATACATCCAAATGAAATTCTGTAGAGGTTAACTCAAACAAAAACAAAAATTACTATGCTTAGCCACCCTTTCTACATTTTGCAAGAACCAGAGTGAAGGCAGCTCTTGCACTGGAAAAAAGTACCTCAAGTAAGTCCTTCTCAAGACGCTCTTTTAACTGCTGCATTGATGCTGTCCCTCCAGCAAGCTATATAAAAACAGGTAGGAAAGGCATTGAAATGCAAAGCCAGCAGAGCACTAGAAAATTTATACCAGAGGTGATCACGCCAAGATGCAAGCACTGCTACTGACAGGGCATGTAGGAGAGTAGAATTTATCAGAGTTTTATACAGCAACAACCACATATTCTACACTAGTTGAAAGAACTGTATTACTACCGAAAGCCATGTATGAAATAAAATTTAGCAGAGGCTGATACAGGCAACTAAATAGCATTTTTTTTTTCCATGGCAACAAACCAACCCATTGCCTACCCCAATACAGCTTCAACAGTCATATTACAAGTATGCTAACTTGAATATTGCTTCTACAATACAAAATGACACTTGCAAGTTGTAAACCATATTCAAATACTTAATATATACACTGGGAAGAAAATGCACAGTTGTGCTCAGTAAAAACAGTTCCATGAAACTAGTTGTATAAGCATATAGTAAGTAAACAAGAAAGGAACTATCAATACATTAGCACATTCCATGGTCAGGGTCAATGAAATAAAAAAGGCAAACTAAAACAGTTTCACATACCAGTATACTACTATATAAATCTCTCCGAATATCCACATCACACCTGTTGATGCTGTCTATCACCTGCAAGCACCAGAAAACTGGCTGATTAAGTGATTAGCTCAAAGCTATTTCAGCTATGAGTAAGAAACAAAGAAGATTACTGACTTACCATTTGAGGCAAGCCATGGAAATTTGGAGCAACCTCTGCAAAGCTTTCGATACCAGATATCGTCTGATAATTAGGAGGAAAAAACGGATATACTACATCAGCATGTTTGTTGATCCACTGTTTCCATCTTTCTCATAACATTCACATCATGGAATGGGCTCCATCAGTATACTACAAAGTAACTTTCTCAATAGTCAAAAGTATTGGGTCAGAAACATTTATGGCCGTGATCCGTGAAGAAACCAAATGCTATGATGAAATACTCCCCAACTTTGTTTTGTCGTATAAAAAGAGCTGCAGCATGAAAGACCAAGTCCACCAACCTGTGCCAAAGATGGATTAAATAAAATATCTGGAATCTTGAATCTATCAGCTCCAATTTCAATAGTCCTGTGAATTTAACCACAAAAGTAAGATACGAGTAGAAAAAAATAGCATATTGTAAGTGAGAAGCACCAATTGATCTGTAAACTGAGTTCCATGGATTTATAAGACTTACTGGCCATCAGGAAGCTCATATGGAGTCATTGGAATGTTTGAATAGGATGCTTCTGAAATTTACATTGAAGAAAGAAAATGATTTTGAAGGAAAACAAAGCTCAAACATCTAGTGCAAGTTCCATAAAAAGGGGAAGGCAACAAATCTTTGCACACAAGAATGACGCAGTTGGAACAGTAATTGGATACACAAGAACAGCGAGACATCAGGCATAAAAGGGTTGGTTATTTCCAGCAGCATCTGTGAATCCGCTGGCATTCGACTTCATCATATCCGACACTTTGGGACAATGAGAACACGAGTGCCTGTCCATGTCAATTGATGTCCTTTAACAAGTTGCAATTCCAACTGATTCTGTGAGATTTCAAGGACAAGGATGCTTATAGCAAGGATAACATGCGAATTCTCAATGCTTTTGGTCAAATTTAACACAGTACACAGCGATATCAGACAAGAGGGGTACCGTACTGATAAAATGCAGATATGAGACAATGGTGCCACAAATGTGGATATAGGCATCACAGATGATCAGAGCAAAAGTAAATGAGCATTACTGATGAACTCCGACAGACTCGGTTCAAAGCATAACCTTCCAATGATGGGAGTCTATGGTGTATCGATGGTAAAAGAAAAACAACTTAAAAGCAAAGCAGAAAACAGATACTGACCATCATATGGTGTATCTGGAGCTCTACATACACATTCCTTGATATCACTAGCAATTACTCTCTATTTAAACAAAAGAAAGGAAAAGAAAAGGTCAGAACATCTGGAAAAGGAACCATATCTCCGAAGGAAAATTGAATTAAAAGAGAGACCTGGGAGTATAGTCTGTAGCTTTCTGTTGTATTTGGAAATTCGACATCAACTGCCTGTTAGGTTCAAAACAGATTCTCAGCAGATTAAATAATGAAATAGAAAAATGTCAAACAGAAAAATAATGTCGAAGATTCTCAGCAGATTAATAGAAAACTGAGCAGAGCTTTAGCGACAACTAAACAAGGAAAGAACAGAAGGGGGCAAAAAGGAGATAAGTTTCTGGACTAGATTCAGAGGCATTAATTAACTAAAACTTATAGGCTCCGAAGGAAACAAGTTTGAGTTTTGTGACAATTCACAGATTGTAGAATCCAAATGAGGCATAATAGCCCCATCAGTCCAATGAGACAATATTTTTACAAATGCGTCAGACCAAATAAAACGCAATCGGAAAAATAGCACACATTCTCAAATACACTGAACAAAACACCCCGTATATAGTTCCAAAGATATAACACTAAAGCAAATATTGCATTTTCTTAGCCCAACTAATTGCAACTCTCTAACTCTAACACAAACAGGCACCTTTCTGGATAGCAGTGTGACAATGAAAAATCTCATCATGCAAGATATACCTGAAAATCACCAGGTCGTGTTTCCTTTCTTTTGAAAGAGTACCTGGGTTTGATCTGCACATCCACATAAGAGAATTCACACTTAAAAGGAGTGGAACAAATAATATCAAAGTCCTGTTGTATCAGCTTGAACTACAATGGTCAAATAGGATCTCACATACACTCACCACGATACCCTTGCTCTCTAAGCTTTTCAACAAGCAGTCAGTCAGGTATTCCCCACCAATAGGACATGAGGTAACTGCCTATTCTCACAGAAGCAAAGCCAAAAACAATAAGAAACTATTTTAGTTATCTAGAGGTTGTTTCGGAATTAAAGGATGGATAGGCATACACTTGATCAAGCTACCCAAGATTGAAAACAGAAACCAACGTGAAGCTCGTCCCAGGTAGCAAAAACCATCAAATAGATTCAGCAGTAGACATTTACCACAATATTAAGCAACTACACTTTCTACTCTAAGACCGCATAGCACAATTCTATGAAGAGAACTACAAGAGTATCTACATATCAGTAGGTACCAGTGTACAACCTTCTCATCATCCAAGTAATTATGTAAAGCTACGACTCTTTACAGTGGCCAATGGCATACAGAAGTCTATCGACAAATATACATCAGAGTGAAGAAGAGATCAGATATTCACTCACAAAAATGAATGGAGATATTTCAATACGTTACTAATTCTTAACTAATTCAGTAATTGTTCAGATCAACTCACACATTTATAATGTCCCACTTTGTTCTGGAAAATCTATGTTAAAATCTAAATAGAATCTTAACTGTTACGATACCAACCACACCGGGGAAATAAAATGAAAAGTCATCTTATGAAGAAAATCAGGCACTAAAGTACGCCATCATCCATGGACAAAGGAAGGCCAAATTTACACACGATTTTACCAAAATCTACACAGAAAAAGAACCCTTCAGACGTAATAAGATTTTATGTGGCTAAATGAGCACAACACACCAAGAAAATGGAGCATAGGTACGAGGTGCAAGCCAACATGTGAGCATGAGAGAAGCAAGGCAGAATACGAGTAGGTACTTGACATGAAAATATAATAAAAACACTACTGATGACTGCTTATAGCATATTTTCTCACTCCTTATGGTGCAGTTGTCACAAAGATAATCTTTCACTGTAACTAGCATACACTACGAGGATAAGAACTTAGGGGTCGTTTGGGAAATCAGAATGTAAATATATATGGTTATGTCTTCGGTGCACTCACTTTTTTGGGTGCATTCAATGCACCCGCCTCAAAATCGTCATTCTGAGCCGGCGGTTCATGTGAAAACGATGTCTATGATCACTTGTGGTATGATGAACAAGAACCACATGAATTTGTACAAAAATCATTTAAGATTCACTTTAATTTGAATGATTTAGGGTTTAGGAATTTAGGGTTAGGGTTAGGGTTTACAATTTGGGATTTTGGGTCGGGATTCAAAATTGAAGGTTAATAGGTTAGGGTAATGGACTGACTAGTTGTGATTTTGTGTTACATCATCATACTAGACTAATGCTACCCACTAAAGTTTTAGATTTGACGTATTATGACCACTCTTAGAGATGGGTGTATTCAATGCACCCAAAATATATATATATTCTAAACAATCCGAAGATTCTGAGTCTGTAAATTGTCAAACAAAATTTAAAAAGTTCATTGTTTGGTAACTAGATTTTTAACACTTAATAAAAAATAAAGATTCTAATTTTGTATCAAATGACATATTTATCCTTAATGAGAAGAATGAAAAAGATATGCAATTCTTTTGTCAATTTTTTTTATGAGGGTAATAAAGGTGTTTTTAGTTAGGTGCTACTTAACTGATTCGAACTTGTGACCTCCAGGTTCAAGACCAATGGTGTCAACACTATTATTCTAACCGACTATTGTTCTTGCCAATAATAAATCTCCAATCCACTCAAGCTTCGTTCCCCGTTGGCTCAACACATAACTCATATATACAAAGTATATATATAATGCTGCTAACACTCAACAATTTTTATTTGATATTTGGTACGTTATCTAAATAGCTAGTACTGCAAAAAGGTGGCTTAAAGAGAAAAAAAATTAGATGACATAACCCTGGCCAAGGTGAAAACAGGCTAGGGATATGTAGAAGAATGAACAGACTGCGACAAGTGGATGGGTTTTGCGGAGGGGAGGTTGAGTGGTGTTGTGTTTTTTTTTTTTTTTTTTTGCTGGCTTAAGGAGTGCAGGGAAGCCGAAAAGAAGAAAAAATAGAAGGCCTTTATCAAGTATTGGTGAAATAAATAAATAAATAAATAAGATGGGATATAATTGAAAAGAAGTATCTTAGAAACTATGATATAGAATCTCTGATTATAAGAGATTTTATCTCTCTGGATTTCTTAAATTTGAAATCTCTGAAACTAAAATTCACCAAGAAAAAACAACAAAAACACATACGCTTTTCCTAAATCTATGCATACTATAAATTCATGGTTCAAATCCTTTTTCTCCAAACAGCCCCTTAAGATATTCAATTAGTTTTTATTTTTTGGAATATTCTCAGCTATAACAAAATTTTCCACAGAAAACAAAGAATATATAAATGGGAACACAGCATATGAGGGCCGTCCAACAAGGAAATATCCTATATACTACTGGTGCATTGCATTTGTCCCTCTTATCTCACAACCATGCCTGACTCACGGGGTTTGATGAACAATGCCTTAGACTCAAGCATGCATAACTTTCGAAGTGTAGGATTGAGGGTAAGAGAGATACCTTTTGAAGGACATAGCCATCATGGACTGGTGCTATTGTAGTTGATCCGCCACCACTGGAAACAACACCATATCAAACTTAGTTTTCAGCCATGACAAACCAATGTTGGTACATCAAGAGGAAAGTATAACCTCACTAATACAAGCTTCTGAGAGAATAAACACCACATGCATAAATCAGGCATTGATTACTCTAGCTTTCCAGATATAATAGAATGTTGTTGAAAAAAATTCAACAACGATGATTGACTGAACCATCTTTCTTTCAGGTACATAGTTGAACTCGGTTATAATTTCCTCTATGATAGGTCAAAATTGATTTGATAAAGAAAGCAAGTATAACTGGACAAAAAACAACAGCGAGCTAACCCAAACACGAACGGAAGAATAACCGCAGATAATAATCAAGAGGTAAAAATGGAACACTAAATGATCAACAATTTTGATGATGAAAATTCACGACTCCTACCAATCAACAACCAAGGCAGTAGCACGTCCGGAGGCAAAAGAAGTCAAAACCTGACATTCAAGAAATACCAATATTATCCAAAACAAAGAGATAAAAAAAAAAAAATATTAAGTACAACAATCCTCTATTACATAGACAAGAACAAAAAAGTAAAGAGAGCAACAAAAAGAATAAAGGAAAGAACCATACAGCATTCTTGGCCAAAAAGAGGGCAGGGACATTGTACTTTTCAAACATAAGCTCCACCGTCCTGTATGCGAATTGCACCATTGGTTACTAACAAGGAATCAGTACAAGATTATATGATACAGAAAAGAATAACAGAACTCTTCATCAAGGGATCACATACTCTAAGCTATTCTATAGTAGAAAATGGGATAGATCTTACCAAATGATAATAAGGTAAAGTGCAGACAATTAGACACGATGAAACAATGGAGAAATAGACAAACATAACAACATTACATGACATTTGAAAAAATATACTTCATAAAAGGGTTGATAGCATTTTATACTCATATACTATTGCAAGTTAAAAAATATATCATTCTACTACTTTTTAGCACAAATACACCCCTATATTATTGAAACATAACAAGCGTACTCTTCCGTCCAAAATTCTGTTAGTTGAGCGTTAAAGGGAGCTGAAGATGACCAAATTGCCCCTCACTTATTACATAAGTTTCTTCTTTTTTTTAGAAGTAAGACATAAACTATTTAATTAATTTAGTTTTCCGTACTTACTTTTAAATTTTTCTTTTTCTTCCCCTTCTATTTATTTTTCTGTTTTTTATTTCTGCTAAAAAAATATTTAATAAGTGAGGGGCACTTTTGGTCACTTTTTCATACCTTTAACAATTAGTTAAAGGAATATTGGATGGAATAGTACGTTTGTTACATTTTGATAATAAAAATGTGCAAAAATATAGTAAAAGGGTATGTTCATTAACTTGCAATAGTAGATGAGTATAAAACGCTATTAACCCTTCACAAAACTATGGTTTTGAGCATGTTAGGTTAAAGAATGCAGGACACCTTTCTCTCTGTTGTTGACTGTTTGATGAAGGTTCTGCAAGCAGCATTGGGTGCTCCTTTGGATCAACTAGCAGACATTCCCTGAAGAATTTTACAATTTAAGACTCAGAAAACTCTAAAATAGACAGGCATGAAACAATACAATGCCAAGACTACCTAAAGGCATGGTCCCATATGCTATCCACAATATCCCAGTCTACAACCACTCCATCCTTAATGGGTGACAAGACCTAATGCAACATAAGAACTGATTAGGCCATCAAAATGTATAGTGTCTATGCAGTTTACCAGAAGCCTGAATGAGAAGATGTGGCTGAAAAGACATACCTCCATATTGTCCCTTCGGAATCCCAAAGACTGAGATCCTACATATAACTTGCGCTTTCCCTTTCTCTCGGAATCTTTGACAGCAGTCTTCGAATCTACGGCAGAATTTTGCTCACCGTTTGTGCTATTGTCAACCTCCATTTGATCAATGGCTCCAACAACCTGATAATCAATGATTAATAAACCAAGAAGCTCTATCCCTGGCTGACTAGTTCCGGACTATTCTAAAGCAGCTGGCACATAACAGGATGAACGTGCAAATTGAGGTGCGACAAAACAATGAGGATGACGTACAAAGAGTTGTGCGAACCAAATTTAGTGCCTATGCATGAGAGACAGCAATCAGAACCAAAGCTAGGATCAGTTACGAAACTGATCATCAAGTCAATTACTCAACAGCCAATACTGTCATGTCTGAGGCTAACTGGAAAAAAAAATGGCACTACAGCTATTGAGGTACAAGGCCCTAAATGCTCACACAGAAAATAATTTGCCTAAGCAAAAATCAATTTACAGGCGTTGCACGAACAACGTTTTGGGTTCAAAAATTGTGACTGCAGGGAAGGTACATTGCGATGACAAAAGACCACAAAATGCAGCGAAGTTAAGAACCTCGAGTGCAAGCATTTCAGTCAAACAACGTAGATGCAGCAAAACAAGTAAAAATGCGGCGGGAAGACGTGAGGAGAGAAACTAACAGAAGGGAAGACAGCCTTGGGAGCATCCTCACCGGCATAGCCAGCCTTGCAGGTGTGAGAGCCCAAGTCTAAGACAATAGCTGATACTTCGTCTGCGGGTGGGTAACAAAACAATATCACCAAATTTTGCAGACGTAGGAGAGAAATTGGAAAGTGAGATGGAGGGAGGTAGGGAAAGAGCAAGGAATTCGCGAACTAACCTCCTCCGTACATGATTGCAGTCTAAACGAAATAGCTTGAACAGCAGGGGGTTCTCTGTTTAGGGTTTGGTATTAACTATTAAGTAAGCAGAGGTAGGAGAACGAGTATTTTATATTATTTTCAAAATTATATAAAGGTGAAGCTTTTTATTCTCATTAATCCGCTGCATTAGTGCTGGTATGATCGCAACCGTCAACCAGCTCTTCCCCGGACGGAAAAAGTGCGAAGGAAGCAACTCAACCAAAGAAAAAAGTCCGGGCAATGAACCTATCCCATGCTGATCAGACCACTATGGCTGACGGGACTGAGGAGATGGAAACTGAAGTCCCGGGAGATCACGAACACACAAGAGAAAGGAACAGTGACCAGAGGGGGGCCTGGCAGGGAGAAAAGGCTCGACTGTTTAGCGAAGTTCTGAAAGATGATGCATGGTACGTAGCGGACTCGGACTCGGAAGACGTGTTCCAACGTGAACGGGAGGAGGATGAGGAGGTGGATGAAGGAACAGACGATCCCCGCTGTCCCACTGTGTTGTTTACGGCTGCGCAAAAGAATAAGTGGCGAAGAGAATGGCGATCGGCGCTGGTCGTACAGGGTTTGGGGAAGAAGGTCTCGTATCTACCATTGGCGAGACGGCTAAATTATCTTTGGGCCCGCCATGGGGATATTCAAATCTCGGATATGAAGAATGGATGTTTTTTGGTGCGGTTTCGAAATAAACTCGACTATGAGGGGGCTGCTGAAGGAGGACCTTGGCTACTAGGTGACACGTATCTCACTGTACATCGGTGGTACAAAGGTTTCAACCCCTGGAAGGCGACTGTGCAGTCCACTGCGGTGTGGGTTCAGCTCCCGGACCTCCCTATTGAGTTCTTCAATGCTGAGGCGGTTACTATGATAGCGGAGCTGATTGGAAAACCAATCAGGGTTGACCGAGCCACGGAGCTGGGTGCGCGTGGGAATTATGCAAGAGTAAGCGTTGAAGTTGATCTAACGAAACCCCTTTTGGCGAAATATAAAGTGGAAGGGGTGGAGTATCTCATCCAGTATGAAGGTTTAGAGAATATTTGTGGAGAATGTGGATTGTTTGGCCAAACAATGACCCGTTGCTCGTGCTCAAATATGGGAGAAGAAACAGGCAAATCCGGGGAGGAGATGCCTCCCACTCAATCAGAGCCCGCAGCATCTCAGGCGGTGGGTCGAGTCTATGGAGAATGGATGTCAGTTAAGCGCAAGTCGAGCTGGAACACTAAGAGAGGTGTAAGTGCGAGGAGGGATATTCAGGTTAGCCATGGGGGCAACAAAGCTAATAGCTTTGCGGCGCTAGCAGGGGATGTTGAGGAGGAGATACAAGACGAAGGAAGAGGTAAAAATTCCTCGGAGAAGGAGTCACAGGCTAGCAAAATAGAGAAAGCAAGGGAGAATATGACTGGAAGGAGTAGCAGTCCGCGAACTACCCAGGTTGGTGTTAAAACAGGAGGGAATAAGAGCCAGAGTCTGAAACCAATGCAGAACGTGCCTAAAGCAAAGGAGAAAGCTGGAGGGAAGGTTAGCTTGGTTGGACAGGGGGTGAAAAGGGGAGTGAACGATGAGGCTAATCGCCATGCAAGCCATGCAAAAGGGGTAAGCCAGAGTAGTGGAAGTAGAGGTGCGGGGATAAGAAGTGCTAATGATGGAACTGAAGCAACGTCGACAAGTAAAGGTCAAGTGCTGAACGAGGGTGCGGGGAACCTATCCCCTTCAGGTGATCAATGAGAATCCTAAGCTATAACTGCCGCGGTCTGGGGAGTAAGCGTGCAGTTAGAGCTTTGAAGTCGCTATTGCGACATTGCTCCCCACATGTAGTCTTTTTAATGGAAACTAAGCAAACGGCGGAGGAGAACAAGATCACAAGGTTGGAACTCGGGTTTGAAGAAGGAGAAGAGTGGTCGGCAGATCGATCCGGTGGTGGTCGGGCTGGTGGTCTAAGTCTCTGGTGGCGCGAAGGTATCAATATTCAAGTAATGACGATGTCCTTGCACCATGTGGATGCTCGTGTTACCGAGGATGAAGGGGGAGTGTGGCGGTTTTCGGGCATCTATGGGTGGTCGGAGGATGAGGAGAAATGGAGAACATGGGACCTAATGAGAAGGCTAGCCGAGCAGTGGACGGGGCCGTGGCTTTGCGGTGGCGATCTCAATCAAGTTAGGTGCGCTGAGGAAAAGAGAGGTGGTAGAATGGTGGCGGAACAGGCAATGGGACAGTTTGATGATTGTATGACTGAAGCTGGTCTATGGGATTTGGGTTTTAATGGATACCCATTTACGTGGGAAAATAAGAGAGCGGGCGGAGCTTTAATCGAGGAGAGGCTGGACCGGTTCATCGCAAATGATCTTTGGCGCGATTCCAGGGCAAATTGTCGGGTCACTCACCTTGATAAGGAAAGGTCCGACCATCGCCCTGTGATTTGTGATACACAAGGTGAAGCAGATGAAGAACCCAAGTGGGGCTGGTCGTTCAAATTCGAGCCCCACTGGGCAAAGCACGCTGAGTGTCCGAAGGTCGTGGAAGAAGCTTGGACCACTCAACCTGGGGTGGATGCTTTAACAAAGCTTTTGTTTTGTAGGTCTAAACTTGAATCCTGGAGCAAAGAGACCTTTCCACGTTTTGGAAAGCAACGAGCAAAGATCAAAAGGGCCATGGCGGCTTTGGAACGGCGACCACGGACCTCGATCTGGCAAGAACAGCGAAGGCAGCTGGAACTTGAGCTGGCCGAACTTGAAGCCAACGAAGAGCTCTACTGGAGTCAACGCTCGAGAGCAGACTGGCTAAGCGGTGGAGACAAGAACACTGCCTTTTTCCACAAAAAAGCTAGTGCCCGTCGGCGGAGGAACATGATTCGCAGGATCAAGGACAGCTCAGGGATGTGGCATACGAAGCTAGAAGAAATGTTTGGTTGTTTTACTAACTATTTTTCTGGTCTGTTTACAGCGTCGATCCCACCAGAGAGGACGCCTGTTCTTGATGCGATCCAATTATCAATTACACGAGAGCAAAATGACATGCTGTTGATGCCGTTTACTAGAGACGAAGTGCATCGGGCATTGAAACAGACGGGATCGCGAAAGGCGCCGGGAGCTGATGGATTCTCAGCTTTTTTCTTCAAGAAGCACTGGGAGGTTGTGGGCGATGACGTTGTTGCCGCTGTCATCCACATTCTGGAGGGGGGTCCGATGCCGCCAACCCTCAATCACACTCTTATTGCGTTGATACCGAAGATCAAAGAACCGAGTGCCCCTCAAGACTTTCGGCCTATCAGTTTATGCAATGTCTTGTATAAACTGGTGGCGAAGGTGTTGGCTAACAGACTAAAACTTGTTTTAGATCTTGTGATTTCTCAGGAACAGAGTGCCTTTGTGCCCGGCAGATTCATTACGGACAATATTATGGCGGCGTTTGAATGCTTCCATTCTATGAAGAACAGGTCGCAGAAGGGAGTTGGGATGTTCGCGGCGAAGATCGATATGGCCAAGGCCTATGATCGTGTGGAGTGGCATTTTCTCGAGGGTGTTATGAGCCGAATGGGGTTTGATAGGCGGTGGGTTGATCTGATCATGAAGTGTGTTAAGACGGTCTCGTACTCGGTTCTGATAAATGGCCATCAATCGGAAGCTTTTCTACCAACCCGTGGATTGAGGCAAGGTGACCCGCTCTCTCCCTACCTGTTCCTTTTCTGTGCAGAGGGTCTTTCAGCGATCACCAAGGCCGCGGTTCAGGATAAACGACTGCATGGCTTGAAGCCGGCGCAGGGGGCTCCGACGGTGTCCCACCTTTTTTTCGCGGACGACAGTATCTTCTTCGGGAGGGCTACTGAGCAAGAGAGTGGTCTCTTGAAAGAGATATTGCAGTTGTACGAAAAAGAGTCCGGCCAATTGGTGAATTTCCAGAAGTCGGCGGTCTCGTTTAGTGGGAATGTTAGAATGCATCAGAAGTTGATGGTGTGCGGAACGCTACAGATGACAATGGTGGAAAAACATGAGAAGTACCTCGGGTTACCTACTGTGGTAGGAAGGAGTAAGAAGGAGATTTTTAATGGCCTGAAGGAAAGAGTTCGGAAGAAGCTTAAAGGATGGAAAGAAAAAACTCTCTCAGTAGCGGGAAGGGAGACGTTGATCCGATCCGTGGCACAGGCTCAGCTCACGTATGCCATGTCTGTTTTTCGCATCCCGGCGGCTATCATTAACGAAGTTCATAGTCTTATTACGAACTTCTATTGGGGCCAGAAGGGATCTGAGAAGCGGATTCATTGGTTGAGTAGGGAAGAATTGCTGTTGCCGAAGGAGGAGGGAGGGCTAGGACTAAGGGACCTTGAAGGTTTTAATACTGCTATGTTAGCTAAGCAGGTATGGCGGCTCCACCAACGACCCTCGTCCCTAGTCGCAAAGATCATGAAAGCGAAATATTTCAAGAACACTTCGATCCTTGAAGCTAGCATCGGCCATTGTCCAAGCTTCATTTGGCGAAGCCTCTGTAGTGCCCAGGATTTCCTATGCGACGGTCTTAGATGGCGGATAGGCAATGGCGCGGATGTAAAGATCTGGGGGGATCGATGGATCCCGGGGGGTGTGCCTGATTTCGTGGAATCAGCTCCACGTGGGCTGCCTGTCGACGCTACAGTGCGACAACTCATCAACCCAGTCACAGACCAGTGGGATTGGGGGGTGCTCACAGCCTGCATGGACGTGTCGGTAGCTCAACGGGTGCTCCAAATTCCGTTGAGAGGTAATGATGAAAGGGATACCTTGATTTGGGCGATGAGTGATACGGGAGCCTTTACGGTAAAGGACGGATACAAGTGCTGGTTAAAGAAGTCTTTGGCTGATCGTCTCGTGCACCCTGTAGGAGAAGCTGGGACGTGGAAGCTCCTATGGAATCTGAAAATCCCTCCCAAAACGAAGCATTTTATGTGGCGTTTTATGAGGGGTATTCTACCTACTGGCGACAAAATCAGCACAAAGAGTAAGAGGTGGGGGGACAAATGTCCTTTCTGCGAGGCTCAGGAAACGCAGGCACATCTATTCGGAGAGTGTCAGTGGGTGACCAGAATTTGGAGGGCTACGGATGTCGCCAGCTGCTTTACTACCAGAGCTTCGGAGGACTGCTATCAGTGGTTCGCGGATGTGGTGGCGGCAAAACCCAAGGAAGAGGTGGAGGTCTGGTGTGTGGTTCTCTGGTTCTTTTGGCGAGAACGCAACGCGCAGATGTTTAATGGCATAAAGATAGCTGAGGAGGAAATTATCCCTCGTGCAAAACTGTTCTTGGAGGACTACAGGAAGCAGCAATCAGCCATGACGCAGGAGACGGATGAGGACAGGAACGGGAGATGGAAGCCGCCCGAGCCAGGCAAGCTAAAGATCAACACGGATGCTGCAATTTTCCAAGGAGAAGGAGTTGGTCTGGGGATGGTGGTAAGGGATTCAAATGGCCAGTTTATAATGGCAGCAAATAAGAGAGTTCCAGGGAGATGGGATGTGGAAGTGGCGGAAGCAATTGCAGCAGACTTTGGTTTGCAGCTTGCCCAACAGCACCAAATCCGGAACCCCATTCTTGAAACGGATTGTCTTGGCTTGGTAAACAAAATTCGGGACGCGGAGCTCATTGACTCGGAGACAGGGGTGATTTGCAGAAGTATTCGCCGGCGTATTGAGAGTCTGGGAGAGGGTACTTGGCAGTATACTTCACGTGAAGGAAACAACGCTGCTCATATTATGGCACGTCTTGAGGTAGGGTGGAATGACTGGATGGTCTGGTTCGATAGTCCACCGTCTTGTGTCATTGACCAGTTACAGCTGGATAATGTAACCGCCAACAATGGTTAATAAGAATGTTCGCAGATTCCCATCAAAAAAAAAAAAAAAAAATGATCGCAACCGTCAACTCCTTGCGCTCGTTCGTATATGTCATAGTAGTCACCCGCTTCCCGTAGGCTACCCGCTTCGTACGGCCGTAACTTTGCGCTCGGTTATCCGATTGACGTAATTCTTTTCCCCATCTCGCTTAACTTTTCGAGATCTTTGCAGAATAATACCTTCTCCCGCCTCCCCCTGTGTGTACGCCGTTCGAGCGGGCAAAAAACAACGAAAAAAATCAAATAAAAAAGGGGTGCAACACGAGGACTCCCCAAGAGGTCACCCATCTTAGTACTACTCTCGCCCAAGCACGTTTAACTTCAGAGTTCTAATGGGATCCGGTGCATTAGTGCTGGTATGATCACACCCGCCAACTCCTTGCGCTCGTTCGTATATGTCCTAGTAGTCACCCGCTTCCCGTAGGCTACCCGCTTCGTACGGCCGTAACTTTGCGCTCGGTTATCCGATTGACGCAATTCTTTTCCCCATCTCGCTTAACTTTTCGAGATCTTTGCAGAACAATACCTTCTCCGCCCTCCCCCTGTGTGTATGTCGTTCGAGCGGGCAAAAAATAACGAAAAAAATCAAATAAAAAAGGGGTGCAACACGAGGACTTCCCAAGAGGTCACCCATCTTAGTACTACTCTCGCCCAAGCACGATTAACTTCAGAGTTCTGATGGGATCAGGTGCATTAGTGCTGGTATGATCGCACCCGTCAACTCCTTGCGCTCGTTCGTATATGTCCTAGTAGTCACCCGCTTCCCGTAGGCTACCCGCTTCGTACGGCCGTAACTTTGCGCTCGGTTATCCGATTGACGCAATTCTTTTCCCCATCTCGCTTAACTTTTCGAGATCTTTGCAGAACA